GCTGGTGAGTTTTAATTTTTTACGTTTTTCAGCCAACCGAGGGTCCTAAGTGTGTTTTCTCACAGGAACTGATGCAGATTTGGCTGAATTCAGCCAAAAACAACCGAAAACAACCAACCCGAGGCAGATCGCTGCCATTTGTGTCGGCGCCGTTGTTTGAGCACGGCGGAGCTGCCGTGCTAGATTTCTAAAATTGGCTGAGTAGGCCTTGAGACTGATTTTTGAGTTATTTGGGACATTTGTAGGTACCGTAAGCGCGTTTTAGTTCTCGAAGAAAAATTCAGGGAACCTAGGGACTGCCCCTAGGCGCAGTAAACTATTTAGTTTTTCGGTGTTAAATCAGGTAAGGACTCCTCACCCTATTTCCTATCATAGATTTGAAGTTTGAATAAATAATAATACAGTTTTTTATACAAATTAAATAGATGTGCATAATTAATTACGGATTGCTAATGGAGCCCGAACCAGACATTGTTCTCTGTTAATTTATGTTGATTGATCTTGCAGTCTAAAAGCATGATGGTTTCTGGTTTATCTATTTTAGGGTTTAAATGCAGAAAGATGCAGAACAGGGAGTTAGTTCAGAATTCCGAGTCTCTGCCGATGGGTTGCTTCGATTCTAGGACAGGGTGTGTGTTCCAGGTGACAGTGAGTTAAAGAGAGACATCATGACCGAGGCCTATAGCTCAAAGTTTGTCATGCATCCCAAAAGTACTAAAATGTACCAAAATATGCGACCCTGATTTTGGTAGAACATAATAAAAAGAGATATAACTGACACAGGATTACCTAAGGCACGCTCAGGACATGATGCCATCTGGATAATTGTCGACCGGCTTACCAAGTCTTCCTACTTCTTGGCCATCAGAATGACTGATCTCTTGGATAAGTTAGCAAGAATGTATATCCGGGAAGTAGTCAGATTGCATGGAGTCCTAATGACAGTGGTATCCGATAGGAACCTCAGTTCACTTCTCAGTTTTGGAGTAGTTTTCAGCAAGCCATGAGAACGAGCTGTCCCTCAGTACTGCATCTATCTCAACTGATGACAGTCAGAAAGACATCGTACATTGAGTATGCTCTGAGCA